CTTTCTGTCACAAATTCGCCATTTTTGATCGTTGCAGCCAGCGATCGTTCTAGTTGCTGTTTTCGCTCAATGTACCAGCCCGACAGAACTTCTTCGTGGTTACTTATGGCCGTTGACGGTCGTCGGCAGAGCAGGGCGAGTCGCCAGGCTAGGGAGACGGCGTCGCGAAAGCCGGAGGCAATGCCTTGGCCACCAACTGGTATAAAATATTAGACTTCGCGAGGTCACCGGTGTCTCGTCATCAGACTTACATGGAGGGAAAACATGTGCAGCATCACCGCAAAGAACCACTCGGCCATGAGACCACTTATTGCAGCTCCTTGCAGAGAATCGGAAAGGCCGCGAGCGAAGGACACGGATGCAATCCTCTGGGAATTGCACTTCCTGCATGAGACTGCCAATGGTAAGTGTGATATTCCTCCCTTGTAAAAATTTCCGTCTTACCCGTATCGACTCCCCGGGTGAGTGATATATGGAAAGACCACTTTTTTGATATTCTCAGAATTGGACATCTGTTCTCCATCCTCGCCCGCGAGTACAACAAACTCAAATCGCCATAGTCTGTCAGATGGCAATCCGAAACGACCGCACACAGCTGGTCGCTCTGGATTACAAACGAAGCGGAAGCTCACGGGGAAGAATAGATCATAGACTTGCTCGGGGCTATATCCAAGTCTCCACAAGGGGAACTCAGGGTGTGTCTTCTCGCTGGGAAGGCTAATTTCCCAATTAAGTGCTACCCAAGTTTCGTCATAGAATGCTCTAGATTCCCGAGTCAGTATATTCGAAATCCAGTCCTATCGTGGGTTTATGCGCTCACTGATGTGCCTGTTCCATCTGAATACCAAGCGGCTCGAGGAAGTTCTTCCGGGTAAAACCAGTTTTGCCATCGGCGCCAACGAGGAATCGAGATCTTATGTTATGGGCATTTCCATGTGCATCATTATAGCGACAGTAGATATAGTTTCCTTCTTCGCGAATATCAAACACACTGGCGCCGGTGCGCAGCTGGCAAAACTTGGATATCATGGCGTTTCTTAGGTGTTTCTCGAGTGTTGGTTGTTTGTGACAAATAAACCCAACATGCCCTGTTCCACCTTCGGTCTTCACGCAGTCAGTAAGAAGTTTCAATACTGATAGGGTAGATACACGAACTGTTCCGTAGTCCATTTCCAGGAAAGGCTTCTTGTCTAGAGTGGTTTCGGTGCCTCCAATAAACTTGAACTTTGACATGCCTTTATGATATTTGAGCAAATAAAACAAGACATGTCGAGCACTTCTGACTCACACGTTCCAATTTCAGAATAAATCTGATCATAAATTCCAATCCCCTGGAGCATCCGAATCCCATCCTCATCCAGCGCAATACCACGAGGATCAGTCGTGATTTCTGATTCCTTTTCTACTACAATATGAGGAATGGACATCTGTCCAAGATAGGCAGACAACATGGCCCCAGTAGGCCCGCAGCCACAAATGACCACGTCGGTAATTTCATACTCTTCTTTCGCCATGTTGATATCGAGAAGGAAATCTGACTGATGAAGCCATGGGAAATGGCAAGTGACGTGTTAAAAGGTCTGCGAATCGAACACCATCTGTGCCCCCTGCCCCCTGTATGCAGTGTAACGCTTAGTGTGGGACGGTGCATAGATGTACACCAACATAAACATCCGTATTTCCGTCCATATCCGACTGCGGAGATGAACTCAATCGGTCCCGCATTCCCGCATGCGGGGCTCGGCGGGACGTGGGGTTTGGCTCCATGTGGCGCATATAGTTCCCTCAGATCTCAACTCGTGGGTTCCTGAGAATTGCCGCAACTCCAGGTTCTCAAGATGGTATGCTGCCCACGTCCGAACTCTGGAGAAGTCTTTACTGATTCCACCTTCAGGCAATCCAAGCAAACCACGGCGCCTCAGTCGCCGACATCATCGCAATCGGGCCTGAGTCGGAGAGTGTTCAGGCGTGGCGTGAGCGTTGCGGAATCAAAACAGAATCTCAGATCCGCTTGGTGAAGTTGGCTCATATGCGCTATCAGCATCCCGATCTAGAGGAAATTACTATTTTCCTTCAGGGCAAGTATTCGTGTCACTCTATCTCAAAGCATTCCACTGACTTGGACTCAGATTTTGGTATGACAATCGCCAAGCAAACAGATGACGAGGTTTGGTATCGGGGGTACGGAGTAGACCCCTACGTGTACTACGCCAAGAAAGGTCCAAAGCAGTTCCTTGGTGGTGCATTTGAAGTCGAATCATACCAAGATCTAGAGAGGTTGGTAGTCCTAGCGGTGTATTAATGATACAAATGCTAACAGAAGGCAGAGCGACGCAGCTACCCACGGCTGGAAAGATCGAGGATCTTACTGGTGCCCCCGGTGGAGGATACATGGTCGCATTGACAGACCCCGAAGGATTTCCGATGAATTTACTCTTCGGACAGACACCAGCGACTCCTGGCCCATATCCCGAGAAACTTGAACTCAACTATGAGACTGAAAAGCCAAGAGTTCGCAGATTCCTCCGTTTCAAGCCCGGACCGGCCGCAGTCCATAAGGTTAGTTATTGCCGCGCTTCCAAAGTTGGCGCCTGAATTTGCCGTTGTGTATTAGCCATTGAGCACAGCAGCTGATAAATGACAAGCTTGGTCATTACGGTGTATGCACCACAAACTTCGAAGGCCTTGTCGAGTTCTACACAAAGAACTTCAACATCGTTCCAACAGACTTCCTCTACGTCGAAAAAGAACAAACCAAGACAAATGTGGCGCTATTCGCCCACATCGATCGTGGCGACAAGCATGTCGATCACCATTCCTTCTTCATGAGTTCAAACCCGACAAGCCACGTCCACCACTGCTCTTTCGAAGTCCACGATTTTGACACACAGAAACTCGGGCATCAGTGGCTAGCCAAGAAGGAGTACAAGTCTGTCTGGGGTGTTGGTCGTCACATTCTTGGGTCTCAGATTTTTGATTACTGGTGGGATACAACAGGGAATATGATTGAGCATTATGCAGATGGGGATTTGGTAAATGACCAAACACCTATTGGCTATGGTCCTGCCGGTGATGAGTCTTTGGCTGTTTGGGGCCCTGAAGTTCCATCTTGGTTTTTGCAGTGAGTATGTTTTAAGTAGCATCTATGAAACAAATATTTGTGTTAGCAGCCATGTCCACTGTTTTTGTCATGATCTCCCTCGATAACGGACCTCAAATACAACAATTTCAGTACGATATTCCTGAAAATACTAATTTGAGGGCCCGCCTTTTATTCTAAAATGACCTTCAATTTAGCAATGATACCCTCAGGCGCCCATCCTGGGTACTTAGATTGTATCCAGGTCTGTTAGTTTTACTTAACTCATGGTTCTTCTGCGTTCGATATGCTCATATCGAAAGCCTGGCGTTTTGGATCACTAGTATCAAGTACAAGGATAAAAATGATTATATCCACATTTATGAATTGTGAAGTAGTCATCCAAAGACCATGAAGTTCAATGTTTATGTTTCTAATCTTCGACTTCGTAAAGTATCTCAATCGACACAATTTCTCGCTCTTACACTTTAACGACTTTCATACCGCACCTTATTGACCAAAGTCCCAATCTGATCAATCTTAACACAAATCTCATCGCCATCACGAAGCACAACTCTAGGCTCACGGAAGAATCCAATACCAGCAGGGGTTCCAGTAAGGAAGAGAGTTCCAGCCTCGAGAGTCGTACCCTGTGACAGGTATGAGATCTGTTTCTTAATGTTGAAGATCATATCTTTGGTGTGTCCGTCTTGAACAACCGCACCGTTGTGGATAGCCTTGATGGAAAGAGTCTGCGGGTCTTGGATTGCTGATGGGGCCACAAGGACGGGTCCTGTCGTTAAAATAAATATTAGCAACCATTATACTGTGCAACTCTTTGATCCTTACCAATTGGACAGCTCCCATCAAGTCCCTTCGAGAAAGACCATTGTGCGGTGATCATCTGCATTGTTCGCGCAGAGACATCGTTCGAGGCAGTATAACCGAGTACATAGTCCAATGCCTCCTCCTCAGGAATATCCCGACCGGACTTGCCAATAACCAGGCACAACTCGGCTTCATAGTCACTAGTATCATCCTGGGCACATTTGGGGATATTGATGGCAGCAGGATATGGACCGGCGAGGGCAGTGCGAGGCTTGGTGAAAAGGATGGGCGCTTTAGGAATAGGGAAGTTGCCTTCTTTGGCATGATCCATGTAGTTCAAACCCAGGCAGCGGATATAGCTGCATTGTTCTTGTGTCACTGGTGATAGAAGCTAACAGAGCCTTTTGTTAACAAAGCTGTACACAAGATCATTCGCGCTTTGAAAACCTAACCTGCTTCACGTGCATAATCTCGTCGGTAACGCGGCCATCGAAGATTGTCCCCTCAATCACCTTTACAGCGACCTCCACTCCGTCAACAGTGTCGCGCCCAACATCTCGGGTTGTATCGACCAGTTGGCCGAGGTGAACCTGGCAGTCCTCGACAGCGATAAAACGAACAAGGTGAGTCCAGGATCGCATTTTGAACAATTTGAAATAGAGCTAAGGACGTCTCCCAAGATTAGAAAGCAGAAGATTAGTAGTTCAAATAGGCCTGGAAGATGAGGAGGGCTCGAGGCCATGTGGGGCGTGGGGTTGCGGGACGGTGGGACGTTTTTATAGTTCACTTAGGGCTACGCTAGGCCTGTATGTCCCACATCCACGTATATCCGTCATCTGATAGAAAGCGGGAGGCAGATCGAATTCACTTAGGCAGAGAATACAGTACCGATTGGTACATCCAAAGCTGCCATTCTGTAGCAAAGTCCTTCGTCAGCATACAGTGCACAGAAAAAAGAAAGCAAAAGCCTAGAACGAAAACCTGTATATCTGATAACCTTGCTTATCCAATATTTCCAATGCGAAGCGCTTTGTCTAATCATAATTCGGATTTTTTTCTTGTTATACAACCGTAACATAATTATTTTGAACGCTCACAACCTTGGACACCTCTCATCATCCTTAACATCTGGAACAAGCAAGTTCAATATCGAAGCAAAAAGCCGAGAGATACCCCAATGCCCAACGCGAGGCAAAATATCAACTAAACCACAGAAGGTGCTCGACTCTGAAATAGTAGGTCGCAATACCTTAAATCCATTCGCCTCGAAATTCAACCGCTGGCAATTGATCCCGATCTTCTGCAATTCAGGGAATTCCACACTCTGATGACGATTGGTTGTCCTGTCGGCGCCAAATTCGGTGTAACAGAACCAAACAAGTGCAGCCCGGAATATTATTCGAGGGACGTGTATTGGAGGCTCTGCTCCGATTGGGATTTTCTCTAGTTCGCGGAGGATGAGTGCAGCGTGGAGTGCACATCTTTGTCCATTTGGTGATGAGACCCATTCTCGTATGTATTCTCTGTGCAGTTGGGATTCGGTGAGACCTTCCTTTCCGATTGCCAGTTCTATGCGGTTAATGTCTGCATATAATGAGATAAATGTAGAATGCCATAGCACTGCCAGAGAGTACTTTGCTCCATTTTGGTCTTCGTTGGGGGTGATGTTGGTTTCGTAAAACCTTATCAAAGCGTCCTCGTAGGAAGACTGCTGTTTTGAGTTAATTGTGCTTTTGGCTTCCATTGCTGAAGCTGCAAGGCTCTCCAGCGCCAAGTATGTATGAAAACCGTTGGTCAGGTTGGTTGGTTGTGACAAGCTAAGCTCGTCAGCAATCCTTGTTGATGGTCGTAAGCTGCTAGCATATGAATTTGATCCAGAAAGATGTGAAATCATTTTTTGTGACCATTCTTTGGGTGTCTTTGCTAGCCAGAGGTCATCGGCCGACAAGGGTGGTAGTTTGGATGGAGAATGTCGGAAATATGGATCTGCGATGAAAAGTTCCGAGATCTCGACATCGTGAACATGGATACCCGCGAGAAGCCTTAAAAGCTATTAGAACTCTAGTCGGCCCATGGTGCACTAAGCTCACCTGTTTCTTTCTTCTGCTTGAATCCATGTCTTCCATGCTTTTTCTGGTGCGTGTGAAATGTCACTTAGACTGATATAGTCTGATGCTTTCTTCATCATCTGAGCCCCAGTGGCTCTTTTTGCCCACTAGAAGTAAAGTAGATTAGTTTTTAGTCAAATTAATCGGACACTATTTAACTCACCACGACTAGGGTGCCGTGAAATGTCTGCGCGATAAGCAAATCTTTCTGTCTCTATTTGCCGTGGTTAGTTGCTAAGCTGTGATGATTCAAATGTTTGCCTTACCCCGGATAGAAGCCCAAAAGTTTGCCCTATGAGAGCTGCCTGGATCATGGCTATGGTCTCCAGTCCTTGTCGTGAGAAATATCCCTCCCACTACGTCAAGTCAGCCGGCGAGCATCAACTCAATCATAGGATCTATTGCGTACCGATGATAAAATCGCTTTGTTTAGTGTTTCAAATATCTTTGTCCCTTGTGATGTAGCATAAGATGATCCCACAAAAAGGCTCCCAATGGAGCATATGGATAGTAGCAGTAAAGAGCTTTTAGAAGATGGGCGAAAAGTGGGTGCATGAACAATTGGAAAGACGGGGTGGAACTTCGTGAAATACATTTGGATACATAGGTTCTAGGTTTGTTAGAGGATACCACAGATATTAAGCCGGGACAGCTAGACTTACCAAGAAGTCTGTCGATGGAAGAGGTAAAAATGGTATGTCTGGTTGAAGTTTGACAGCCAAGCTAGCTCGATAGGCTTCGTCCACTTGTGTTTGCTCGGGTATCATCTCCGGGGTGATATGGCCAGTTCTGGATAAGCCTTGCCATGTAGGACCCATATAGGTGTGCCAGTGCGTGCGTATCAGCTCTTCGCGTGATGGGTTGTTGCCTTCATCATGGGGCTGGATAGGGTGGCCAGTCGGTTCATTCTGAGAATGTGATAGATGACCTGGAAGCCAATTTGTAGTTGACATCATAATCTCGGAATTTAAAGCGTTCAAATCAAAATCGTCGTCTGCGAACCAGGCTGGTACTTGGATATTCGAGTTTTCAAATAGCCATGATCCATGTTGGCTGAAATCAGTGAAAGACGAATCGAGGGTTGTCAGATGAGACTGAGATCCCAGCGTTGGAAATCCCGACACATTTTCTCTCTGTTCCCCTTGCTGTATTGGGGCGACTTCTTCAAAAGTGGACGTGGTTGTGCCTTGATCGTTGGCAAATGAATAGGATGCCGACCGAGTATTTGTTCCGCCCGGGTACTCGGCTCCAACTGCAGACGATTGAGGAGGAGGAGTAGGAGGCTTGCGAAACCCTGGCGATAGTCCATATGAAGATATTTGATGGTCGTGGCATTTCTGAGATGCATCGTTCGTGTCGCCCAAGGCGGCTCTCGCCTCTAGGCCCTTTTGTAGAACACTGGAAGAATGACACTTCATATGTCGCAGTAGTGAGTCACTATATTACAAGTCAGTATTTCCTCTCGTCACGTCGGGACATACAGCATGAAATAAAACATACTGACGACTGAACGGCTTTCTGCAAATCGGGCAGATGAAGGGCTTCTCCCTAGTATGGGTTCTCACATGGCGCGCCAGGTGTTCATCCTTTGTGAAGGACTTCGAGCACCAAGAGCACAAGCGCTCACGTTTATTCCGTAGACGTTCGTTAGGCATATTGCGTGTTGTCTCTCAGGGTGAGGATGAGAAAGGTATACGTGGCGAAGCCAGTCTGGGGATGTGGCGGTGCAAACCCGGGTTTCGCCAAATACTGCCTATTTCCCTGCAGGAGAACACCTAGGCACCTGATGAACTCACACGCTTATGCAGAGGTAATCCAAGCTGATTCGTGTGTGTATGAGGTGTTGCTTTGAATGCGAGTTCACGTTCCGCAGGGTCCCGCATGTCCCACCAAAACGCGGGACCGAAGGCGAATATCCTCACAACAAATCAGAACATGCAAATTAAGCTATGTCTGTGTGGGAACCCCGCATTATCAAGTCTTGGGGTATACGGGGAAAGCTATCCCTGCAATGGATATTATGTGACGTGGCCCCTTGTTTGAGAATCAATGTTCCTTATTTGATTGACTTCCTACTGTATAAGTATTGATACCTAGTTACCAGTATGACTATCATGTCTCAAGGTTCTTCGTTCAGGCAGGCTACCAACACTGTCGAGACAGATATCATCCCTGGAACGGAGTTGATGAGAGAGAGTGAAGGCATCCGTGTGACACACGGATCCAATCACAATATACAGTGAGTGATTTGAACTATGGTCTCCTTCGATTAATACTTATTGCATTGCAGGCTCATCCCTTGTCCATCGGAAGGTCCGACTGATCCCCTGAATTGGTCAAAGCCATGGAAGTGTGAGTATATAATACAGTTGGCAACATGTTAACAGCAATAGCTGACTATTCTCAACAAGCAGATCTGGTGATAACAACTCAATTCTTATTCCTCTTTGTCTCTGTGGAATCAGCTTTATCGATGGGACCAATGTTCCCCTTATTTGCAGCCGAGTTCCAGCTCAACGACACCCAACTTAGTCTTTTGACAGGTGCATGTGTACTAGCTCTCGGATTTGCCAACTTCATTATCGTTCCTTGTTCCAATATCTTTGGTCGACGTCTTACGAGTCTTGTCTTCTGTTTCCTAGGCATTGCTTCGTGTATATGGCAAGCTTTGGCTGTGTCTTATAGCAGCATGCTGGCTGCACGTGTTGTGAATGGAATCGCTACTGCCACTAGTGAAACGCTTCTGGTACAAGTTGTGGCAGATATGCTCTTTCTTCATGAGAGGGGTCTCTGGACTGGGGTCTATTTGTGAGTTATTCGGACTGTTAACGAATTTATTAGCTAATATTCCAAAGCATGGGGTACTTTCTTGGATTATTTATTGGTCCTATCATTTCGGGCAATATTGGGCAAAGGTAAATATCCTGTATATCCAAAAGCTACGACAGTGTGATTAACACATCCCATATAGATATGGCTGGCGAAGTTTCTTCTGGCTCTCCCTAGCTCTCACCTCTTTCAACTTTATCACGCTCTTGTGCTGCTTCCCAGAGACCAGGTTTCGCAGAGACACGCAATCCGAAGGTTCTCGGACGGAAATTGAAGGCCCGGTAACCCACAATATCAGAAATAAAGTAGAAACAGAGCAGCTCGAAAGCATCGAACAACGCAGCAACGTCCTAGGAACCGGCCGGCCATCCAAATCCCAGTTCAAACTTTGGCAAGCCCCAGAACCAACATGGAAATCATTCTTGCTACGAGATATCATCTCACCATTCCGCCTCTTTATATTTCCAATCATCCTCTGGGCAGGCCTCAATGTAGCCGGTCCAGCGAACATCCTCCTATTCTGGAATTTGACCGAATCCGCCATCTTAAGTGCACCTCCATACAACTTCTCCCCATCGAGCGTGGGATACTCCAACTTCGCCTTTGTTGTTGGTGGTTTGACTGGCCTTGCTACTGCGGGGCCATTCTCTGACTGGATCGCTGTGCGAGCTACAGAGAGGAATAATGGTATACGAGAAGCGGAGATGCGACTTCCAGCTTTGATTCCCTATTTCATGTTTACTGTTGTTGGTATTGTGGTCGGCGGACTGGGCTATGATCGACTCTGGGACTGGCCTCTTGTTCTAGTCGTTGGTTATGGCTTCAGTGGACTTTGTGTGACAACCGTTCCTACAATAGCCATTGCATACGCTGTTGATTGCTACAAACCTATTTCTGGAGAGATTATGGTTGTTGCTACTGTGATTAAAAATACTTGTGGGTTTGTAATGAGTTACTGGGTTATGCCTCTGGCAGCACGGAGGGGTTTCATGGTGCCTGCTATGGTGGAATTTGCGCTGACGATTGGGCCAATGGTTTTGGGACTTCCGATTTTTTTCTTTGGCAAGCGTCTGCGGATATTGACTCGCAATTCCAGTGTACACGGGTATGCAGGGTGATTTTCTGAAGTTAGGCAGTATAAATGAACTCTGGTATATGGTTGAGGGCATGGCTTCTTAACAGACTCCGTAGATCGAGGAAGACATGGTGTATAAGAGTAAGTGGTTCCTTAGAGTAACTAAATACTGGCGATTTGAGAATCCAAGGCAGAGGATCGCAGACGGATTCGGTCGATTTATTGCAAAGAAACTGTCAGAATTGCAGAGGATGCGCTTAACCGGTGTGGATATATGATAGAAAGTGGGTCCGGTTGATCCTAGCAGCAAGGTGAAAGATGCGTTACCGCAAATTATATTCTAGGTATGCTCTGGAACTGAGGTACCGAAGAAAATATGATCACAATAGTAGTATAGTAGCATAATTGTCCCATATAAACCGCATCTCTGCTGGTAGTAAGAAAAGTGAGTTCCTCCAGTGACGTTGCGCCTATCGATAAGCACCTCACGTGACCCGCAACTTTTTTTTTCTCCCATCAACATCTGCAACATCTGGACTACAGTCACCACTCCACTGTCGCCCATCATGTCCGACGAAATTGTGTGGCAGGTTATTAACCAGCAATTCTGCTCCTACAAGCTCAAGTGAGTTCTGCTTTCCACAGAAATGTCTATCGGATTCGCATTTGCATTTGCATTGGCCGAGAGACAAAAATCAGGAACAGCCACTAACGATCGACTTTTCTCTATAGGACGACGAAAGATCAAAATTTTTGTCGCAATGAATACAACGTCAGCGGTCTCTGCAACCGCCAGTCCTGTCCTCTAGCCAACTCGCGCTATGCGACAGTGCGAACCGACCCCGAAACAGGCGTGATGTACCTGTACATGAAGACGGTTGAACGCGCCCATATGCCGAGCAAATGGTGGGAGCGGGTACGCCTGTCGTCCAACTACGCCAAGGCCCTGGAACAGCTTGATGAGCGGCTGATCTACTGGCCCAAGTTCCTGGTTCACAAGTGCAAGCAGCGTCTCACCCGCCTGACGCAGGTCAACATCCGCATGAAGAACATTGCCAAGGAGGATGAGCGTCTTGGAGAGAAGGTTGTGCCTAAGCTTGCTCCTAAGATCCGTCGGCGTGAGGAGACCCGTGAGCGCAAGGCTATGTCTGCTGCTAAGGTTGAGCGGGCTATTGAGCGTGAGCTTATTGAGCGTCTGCGCAGTGGTGCTTATGGTGACCGGCCGCTCAATGTTGAGGAGGGGATCTGGAAGAAGGTCCTCCGTGGTCTTGAGCGGGCTGGTGAGGGTGAGCGTGATATGGATATGGATGATGGCGAGATTGAGGAGGAGGAAGAGGGTGTTGGTGAGGTTGAGTACGTCAGTGATCTCGATGAGGAGGAGGACCTTGAGGATATGGAGGATTGGCTGGGTGGTGACTCGGCTGATTCCAGCGACTACGATGACGATGAGGATGAGAGCGATGAGGACAGTGAGGATGAGCCTAGCGAGGATGAGAAGAAGCCTAAGCCCAGTGCTAAGCGAAAGGCTACTGCTCCCCAGGCCAAGCCTCGCAAGAAGGGACCTCGCATTGAGATTGAGTACGAAACCGAGGGTGCTGGCAAGGAGCTGGCGTGAGGAGGAAAAAGTTCACCTGTGCATGGCGTTTGGGTTCTGTGTTATATTTTGTAGTGATCGGGATACCCTATTGCATCCATTTTACGATCCATGTCCAATGTTGTCTTGTACAAAAAAATAATTTTCTTCAACTTCAACTTCAACTTCCTCAACTTTCTCTTGTTAAGCTGAAACCGATCACGTGCCACTTGCCGCCCAATGTCCACGAGTGTCTCATCTTTCTTTGGACTTTCATCAGGAGGGATCCTTTTGGAAATGAAAGAATCCACAATCCATCTTCGTTCGTCTCCAATTCTCTAACCTACATCGCCTCCATCAACTCCATCACCTGCATCGCATCGGGTCTCCACCTGTCAAGCTCACTCGTCCCCGCCCCGCATCGAAGCTCTTCTCCAAACAACCAACCACCAACCACCACACACCATGAGCTCATACTTCTCCTCCCTGACCACCTCCTCGGCCATTTCAGGGCTAGGATCCCGCCTAACCAATCTCCGCCGTGCCATCACACTTGGCGACGAAGGCGATGACCCGGAGAACGAAGACTGCTCCCACATCTCCAACGCCCTCCGCGCCTACTACAACGAAAAAGGCCGACCCTTCCCACCATGGCTCCCCCAAGACCCCAAAGCCCCAACCGCAACGCCCTCACGCACAATCGCAACGACCCAACTCTCCGGTGGGCAACAGCCCAGCTACGGCCGCAGCGGCGGACTAGGCGATCTCTGGGGTGATTCCGCGCCCCAGGCTCAAACCCAGAACCCACAGACCGCCAGTCTACGTCGTGGCCGGGGAGGCAACGCACCACCTCTCGTCGCCGCCAACAGCGCACCACCTGGACCCGTCCCCTCCGGCACCCCGCCCGTTACCCTGTCTCAGTCCAACTCCCCGAGCAACTTCCACCCTGCAGGAGCGCGACCCTTGCCCAGCCAGCGTGCTGGATCGCATCAGTCGGCCCAGGCCCGAGTTAACCTCGACCGTACTGGGTCGGGTGGTGGCTCGGCGCAGGATCGGCTGCGGGCTAGGCTGCAAGGTGGCCGGTCTCCTAGTCCGAATGTCGATCCCAGTGTGAGGAAACCGGTTGGTGGAATGGGAAGACGCTGAGTGGGGATATTACAGTAAATGCATTGCATTGCGAGCATGGCGTCGGGAGTTTTTCTGTTTTCTATACATAGCTCAATGGAGCAGATTCGCACATAAAGTGACACCTCTACCAAGTACAGTGCATGTACCCGTTTTACATGTACCTTCGGCCGTAGACCACCAGTCAGACAGTCAGACAGTCAGACCACATACGAGGTATGCGACTGGCTGTAGTCAAGGTTTTCACAAGAAACAACAAGGAACATCTTGGCAAGCCACCAACAGCCACAACAGCCACCAGCGAATGAACATCTCGGCTCGACATGGGGAAAATCCCGCATTTTGCCCCCGAGTATCCCGTGTGAGGGGCCGTGATGTTCTGTAACATATACTCTCGCTACAGTATATCCATGGATACTCATATGCTTGTGTATTCGGAAAGTGAGTTCCATAGATGGCGCTATTTACGCCGCCTCATTGGCCCCAACATCGTTATTTCTCCCCAGATTCCATCTCTTTTTTCGCCGAAGTGTCGCCGATATAACACAGTTCTCTCCATGGGGAACCCCAAGTTCCACACTACATGCTTAGCGTCTTACTTACATCACGAGTTCTTCCTGAAGAGGTTTCTCCCGCATGGGATGTCGTCGGCATTGTCTTCATCCGCTTTTCTTTTCTATACTCCCGGTATACTATGATGCCGAACGGGAAGCCGCGAATCTTCTAGAATAGATGCCGTTAGAAGTAGATTCATGTATACTTCTCTGTGTTCTATACTATCCTATCCTATATTACTGTATACTTCCAAGGTTAAAATGAACGCGGTAATCCGAGACCATGGTTGTGCGCCCTGCGATCATACTTTGCATATAATTCGTCCATACGTCCGATCTGTCCTGACTCCCCTTCCCTCCACATTCCAGCCCAACCAGTGGCATTATTCCTCTTTTTGCCTCCGGTGAATGTCCGCGTTTTCCTCCTTCCCTCAACCCCGGATCGGTCATTGCACCCGATGCTTGTTCTCCGTTTCTCCACTCCACTCTCCACATAACTTAGTCTCAATTCGACTATACTCCAGGACCTGAGATCCCCTGACATTTGACTTTTCCCCAGGTCTCTCTTGTGTGCGTAGTATCGCCTGACCGTCATCGGGACCGGCTTGTCTTAAATAGCCCTTGATTCCCCCGACATTTGGGGTCTCTTTCTTTTCTCCCCCGGTTGAGCCTGAGGTGTCATTTCCTACTTCTATATTCTGGTATACCTCACCCCTTCTACTTCAAGAGAATATGGCCAACCTCAAAGATGTCGAGGTTCCACAAGAATCCCACAGGGAAGAAAAGAATGACGTCCACGAGATGGACGACGTAGCCGACCAAAAGCTGGAGAGCCTCAACGAGACCGCCATGAACGCAGAACTGGCCCAGCTCGAGGACCAGCTCAGCGTATTCCCCACATCGCGCTTTGACTTGAAGATGTCCAGCCCGGCCATGTTCACTTGGATCCTCGTCGCTTTCGCTTCTATGGGTGGTATGCTGTCTGGTCTCGACCAGTCGCTGATTAGTGGTGCCAACCTCTACCTCCCCGACGACTTGGGCTTGAACACTTCCCAGAACAGTCTTGTTAACGCTGGTATGCCGCTCGGTGCTGTGGCTGGTGCTTTGATTCTCTCTCCTGCCAATGAGTATCTCGGTCGTCGCATGGCTATCATCGTGTCGTGTATTCTGTATACAGTCGGTGCTGCCCTGGAGGCTGGCGCTATCAACTTCGGAATGATCTTCGCTGGTCGATTCATTCTCGGTGCTGGTGTCGGTCTCGAAGGTGGTACTGTCCCCGTCTATGTCGCGGAGTGTGGTATGTATCCATCCATTCATCCCGTCCCATCCCATCCCATCCCATCCTCATACAAACCTACTGACACCCACCCAGTTCCCCGCAAAATCCGCGGTAACCTCGTCTCCCTCTACCAACTAAACATCGCCCTAGGCGAAGTCCTCGGCTACGCTGTCGCCGCAATGTTCGTCAGTGTCCCCGGAAACTGGCGCTACATCCTAGGCTCCTCCCTCGTCTTCTCAACAATTCTCTTTATCGGCATGCTCTTCCTCCCCGAAAGCCCCCGTTTCCTCATGCACAAGGGCCGCGAAGTCGAAGCCTACGGTGTATGGAAACGTATTCGCGGTTTCGGGGATCTCGAAGCTAAAGACGAGTTCCTCGGTATGCGCCAGGCTGTCACTGCCGAACGCGAGGAACAGGCTCAGACGAAGCAGTATGCCTGGGTGGACTTCTTCACCGTGCCCCGTGCCCGTCGTGCTATAGTCTATGCCAATATTATGATCTTCCTTGGCCAGTTCACTGGTGTTAATGCTGTTATGTACTACATGTCCACGCTGATGAAGGATATCGGCTTTGAGAGTCGCGATGCCGTCTACATGTCTCTCGTCGGGGGTGGTGCCCTGCTTATTGGCTGTATCCCCGCTGTCTTCTACATGGAATGCTTCGGTCGTCGGTACTGGGCTAACTGTATGCTGCCGGGCTTCTTCATCGGTCTCGTTCTCGTCGGAGTGGGATATCAAATTGATCCTGTTGCGCATCCCAGAGCTGCACAGGGCATTTACCTCACTGGTATCATTCTCTACATGGGTTTCTTTGGTTCGTACGCTTGTCTGACGTGGGTCGTGCCCTCCGAGGTTTTCCCTACATACCTGCGTTCGTATGGTATGACCACTGCCGACGCGAACTTGTTCTTGTGCTCGTTTATTGTTACTTATAACTTCAGCCGCATGATGGAGTCCATGACCCGCATTGGTTTGACGCTTGGGTTCTACGGTGGTATTGCTGTCCTCGGTTGGGCTTATCAAATCATCTTCATGCCTGAGACTAAGAACAAGTCTCTCGAGGAAATCGATGAGCTCTTCTCGTTGCCGACTTCTGTTATTGTTAAGCGCAACATGAAGCAGACTGCGCAGGTTATTCGGGATTTGTCACGTTTCCGCTTGAAGAAGGTCTTCTCGCCAGAGCCTTACAAATAGTGTGGTGCTATGTCCTGTGTTTAATTTGGTGTGAGGGGTTGTTATTTGCTTTTGTTCGGCTCTTGCGTCGTGGTTCACGATGTAATGTAGTTATGATTTACCTTGATCTTTGATCCACTATACCCAATCTATGTTACTAGGGTTATTTTATTTCCCTATACTTTCATGCTTAATGTATCCATAGACAAGGCTGGATATGCCTTGCATCTCATCTCACTTGGTTATCCGATATCGCAGCATACCCCTCACCTAGTAGTCCATGCAAGGTCAACCATCAATCCCTATCCGCCCCACACCCATCTGATATATCAGAAATAGATTTACAATGCATGAAAGAAATATCATTCTACAGGGGAGTACAGGATCGAAAGAAATAACCACCAAGCCACACCCCCTTCCACAATCTCCATCTCCGTCGTATCCATCTAACCCTCAACCCAAAATGCCAACGTCCCTAAAACAGGGCACAACAGTCTACAAATGGTTCCTCCCTCTATACGACCTCTGGGTGCTAGGAGTATGCAACAAACACGCCTGGTCATGCCCAACAGAATCCACCCTCCTCCCCTTCTACAAACGCAACCTCCGAACCCGCCATCTAGATATCGGGCCTGGAACAGGGTACTACCTGGTCAACAGTGCTCCATCCCCCGAAACACAAATCACCCTGTTGGATCTGAATCCAAAGTCTCTGGCGCATGCTGCGAATCGGCTTGATAGAGGGGATAGGGCTGGGAATGTGCATATTGTACAGGCGGATGTTATGGGCCCGTTGCCCTTGACTGGTGTCTTTGATTCGATTTCACTTTTCTTCCTGTTGCATTGTTTACCTGGGACTGTGCAGGAGAAAATGAGGTTGTTTAAGAAGCTGGGGGAAATCCTTGCGCCAGGCGGTGTGGTTTATGGGTCTACGGTTCTTGGGAAGGGGGTTAGGTATAATCTTTTCGGGAGGTTTCTTATGAAGTATTTGAATTCTGGGGGTGTTTTTTGCAATCTTCATGATGGAGAGGTCGAGATTAGGCAGGCTTTAGAAAAGGAGTTTATGAGGGTTGAGACCTGGATTGTTGGGTGTGTTCTTTTCTTTGAGGCTGAAGGGCCGCGGAAGAGGTAGGGTATATCTCGTCTCTGGTCATGGCTTATGGTTGTCTATCTGCTATGTTGGCAAAACTGTGATTTATTTCTTGAGTATGTTGGTTCTTCCTTTTAGTTTTTTCTTCGCTTGCTTCGATCTTAACCGAAACCCTCCTCCCTAGACGAGCTTGATTATTGACAGCAGCAACCGCCATGGGGTATTATATCACAAGAATAATATTCCTCCATTGGACTGTGAGTCGTCTTTTTAGGTAGCCAGATATGCTTATGTCAACTAGAGTAGATTGACTATTAAGATAGGATGGTAAGCAACGCTAGATGCACTTCCAAGATATGATGCTCAAGATAATATACAAGCCAAATAGAAATCAGTGGCAGCGAAGGTAACAAAAAGAAAACAAAGTCTAAGCCAGGGAAGAAAACCGAGTATTCTCTATCCTTCGGTTTATCCACGGACCTTCCGGTAACTTGGCGGGTGCCATGACTGCTTGATCATTTTACCGGCCCAGACTGGGACCAAGGCGACGGCTAGTACGGCAACGACACGCCATAACCAATCGAGAGTGATCACGTAGCTGAGGTCAAAGTACTCGCCTAGGAATGGGACACTACCCGCGTATACAAGTAATGTGCCAACCAGACAGAAGATCATGACCGGGTGCCAGGTTGTGACTGCGATAGCAACCATGCCCAGCTCATTGAGTACCAGGGCAGTGAAGGAAATACTGATAAGCTGTGGGCCAGTGATAGTGTCCAAGAGGATCTGTGAAAGTCCTTGGATGACTGCACCCTGGTAGACTGAGATCATAACCCAGCCAAAGAACGAGCGGTAGCTCAAGCTTTTGCCCGTCTTCAACTCTTTGTACAATTCGGGGTAAAGATTGGCAAGACGCTCGTCCACATCGCGATCGAAGGCGAGAGAGAAGACCGGCGCATTGGTGTAGACGGTTGCGTAGCCGACCATGAGCCAATTGATGAAGAGACCCTTGGGATCAAAGTGACTCGCAATGCTGTACATGGTCTGGCAGACACTGATGATCAAACCACGATGCATGATGAATTGTGCTAGCTTCGCAGACCGCTTGTATGAGTTGCGGCCATGCCATACGAGGAGCTTGGTGATATGGTGGAACTGGGTGATACTGAAATCAGCGGCAAGAGATGCCTGGCGGCCTTCTTTACCCACAATACCAATGCCCACGTCGGCAGCTTGAATCATGGAGACATCATTGCCACCATCGCCGATGCAGCAGACACGTTTCTTAGTGTGTTGGCGGATCAACTCCGCAATCTCGGCCTTTTGAGTGGGAGAGCATCGGCATGCGATCACAGCAGGAAGTAGCACCGCAACGGAAATGAACGCTGTTCGGAATTGTCCAAGCATGAGAGTAAGAGACTCGCCATCGATCAATAGGCAGCAGTCAGTCTTGTTGCGCAAAAAATCAAGGACTTCCTGGGCAGTTGATTTGTCCGCAACTTTGGTCACGGTGTGGATGTATTGGCCTCGGGAAACCAGCTTCGCTGAAATAGCAACACATCGAGCGGTTTCAACTTTGTCACCTGTCAACATCCAAATCTTGATGCCTGCATTGCGCATAAGCTCAAGGGAGGACTTGACATCGCGCTGAAGCCGATCCTCCACACCCGTCACTCCGGAAAGCTCCAAGTCTTGCTCAAGATATTCACTCACGACTTCGGCCATTCCCGCATCTCGTCCTTGTAGAGACAGTGATGCCTGTCTATACTTGGCAGAGAAGTCTTGGTACTGCTGCGACGAAAGACGCTTGCGTCCTACAACCAGAGTTCGCAGACCTTCTCGAGCCATGTTTGCCGTCTCTTCATCCAGCCAGTCATTTGTCGCCACAATAGCCGACATAACAGTGTCTGCACCCTTTTGATAAAACCAGATCTCGCTGTCGTCTTGACCGGGTGTCTCAAGCACTCTGTTATCTTGCTGAAATTGCACGATAATACCCATCCGCTTGCTGTCAGAAGTGAACGGGAAGATGTCCAGAATGCGAACGCGAACGACGACTTGCTTGGAGTCGGTAGATTCCAGGACAATACTTTGTCTGTCTCGATAGGACAATTTGAGTCCAACCTCTTCGGTGTACCGGACGATGGCAATTTCATCCGGCGACGACGCTTGGTAACTTGTTACTTTCTGGCCATCTTCCTCCTCGGTGGTTGGTGTGACGTTGTGACAGAGAGCAAGGGCTAGAATGATATCCCGCACGCGGGAGCCGATCTCCCGCCTTGTGCGCGGAGCCGTGGCCTGGCCTGTTTGAGTTCCATACGGCGTTGACGGGGTAGTCAAGCCATTGCCGGCAAAGCTTTGACGAACAAATGAAGCCACTTCATCCATGGCCTCATTGGCGTATGATACAGTGCCGACGTGTATTTTCTTCAGCTCCATCTCATTTTGCGTCAACGTTCCCGTTTTATCAGAGAGGAGGTATTCAATTCTCCCTAAATCCTCGGGGATTGTGCTGGTACGGACCACTGTACCCGGGATGTCTTTGTCCTTTTGGATAAATCGCCCGTAAACCGACTTGGCCATATCCAAGTTGACTCGCAAGCTCATGGGAATGATAGTTGAGAAGAGGATGAGATATATCATGATAGCGACATACCATTTCTTGTCGTTTGTAGGCTGGAAACCTTCCAGGCCGACAAGAACGATAGAAAGTGTGAGTGTGAGGACGCAAAGGATCTTGGTGAGGTTGTTGATCTCGTATTCTAACAAACCGACCTTCGAACGGGAAGCAGAAGTTGATAGGGCGGCGCGGGTTTGTGATCCCGTGTAGATAATCACAGCGTAGGTAGTGGTGTTGGAAGCAAGAACGGTATTAGCCCAAGCAGTGTTGTCAATAGTCAAAGGCGCTGAAGGGACGGATTGACCCTCGCCAGGCGTCCTTCCGTCGTTTGGTTGGGGGCCAGATGACTTATCGACATGAGCATCGTAAAAGCCAGTGGGTGAGCCCAACTCGATGGTACCAACGAATTCGTTAACCCTCTTGTCGGGAGCGCTAGCCGTGATTTGCAAACGAGAGAAGTCGCTCAAAGGTAGTGATTGGGACAGAACGGAAGGTAGACGAAGCTTCCAATCGGTTTCACCATCCAACTGATCTGTACGGATAAAAGTATCACCAGTAGACGAGTTGTCCGCAGCATTGGGGGCTGGCTCAGATGGCCCCTGGTCAGATTCAAGCAAGTCCGTAGACGCTTCGGGCATGGGTTCTGCTGATAGAGATTGGCGCGGAGTACCAGAGTCATTCGAGACGCTCTTCAGAATCACCACATCGGCAGGCAAGCGTTGGTTCTTCCGAACTTTAAGTACATCGCCAACTTTCAGGTCACGAGACTTTTTTGTGACTTCCATTGGGTTGGATCTCCCTAGCGAAACGGTGCAATATTCTTCGGCATTAGCCTCGGCATCTCTTCGACGCCGTCCAATGTCATCAAGTGCCTCTTTACCCAGTGATATTGACACCACAAAGGCCAAAGGAGCAATATAAGAAGACATATAACCAATTCGTAGCACTGGAATAACCTGAGACAAGGCCACTAGGAGGAAATATATGTTAAAGAAGAAGGAGAATTCGTTGTAGAGGGTTCGTGGTAGGAAACTCCAGGGGGTATATTTGGCGTTGGAGACGACGTTTGCGGGGTATTTGGCAGCTTGGTATTGCCCGACAAGCACTTCACGGGGAGGTTGATTTGACAAGTCGTTCGTGTTCGATCCAAGCTTAACGGATTTTCCCTGAAGGAAGCCAGGTGTCTTAAATCCGGAGAAGCCCAGGAAGCCGCCCTTCTTGGGGGGTTCGTCGTCATTGAAGATACGGGTTGAGCTTCTCCGGTCCAAAAGGGGTGCATCATCTTCTGCTAGATTCCTCGAGCTCGCATGTGAGCCCCTTAAGCCCTCCTCTTCCCGGTTCTCTAGCAAGGCGTCCGTGTCGTCCTCAAAATCTCCCTGCCCAGACGCGCTGCGTCTCCACCGGCTTCCCACCCCGACACGCAAGTTCCGCAGTGCAATACCTGGTCCATAACTTCGTTTGCGGCCAGTATAGTCTCGAGACTCGCGGGATGTATGAGGTTGTGCTGTGCCCGGGTCAAGCTCCTCCAAATCCAAATCATCGTCCGAGTCTGAGAAGTCGTCTGGCGCGGGTTCCGAAGGATGTAGATAGTCGGCTGACGAAGGCATTGTCGGAAGGGTTGTGAAATCGAAGCTAATTGATCGGTGGCTGAATGTAGCGTTGTGCTGGCCCTCGCATCAAAGGAATGTTCATCTCAAGTCACGGCATTGGTTAATAGTTGGTCTGGAGCATGGTGAACGAGTGTGAGGATGATGTCAAAGGAGCGCCAGTTGGCGATAAATGAAGCCAGAATCAAAGAACATATACAAAGACAAATAAATGTTCGTGACTGCCTTGTCGGGGCCACGCAATCACATGAGCGCATAATCCGTTATGTCATTGATGACATAATCACTGTTTAAGGTGGGCATAAAGCGGATTAAATGATCTTCCGAGATCAACTGTCTGCAAGTATAGAAATAATATTATATTGACGGATCTTAGCATTTGGCTATATATTATATATTTATGTAATATGATGTGCTTCCTTTCTATCTATGGTATTGGGGGACATAGGATAGACATTTTGAAGTATTTGTATGTAATAGGTAACCCCAGTGGGCCTAACGGTCCTGGCAGATAGGGTGATACACATATATATGCAAGTAACCTACTCCGTAGTTCTCTTACGTTGGACAATTTTTTAAGTAATTTATAAACCAATTATAGGATAGCTCCAACGAGCACTTAAACGAGTAATCAAATAAGCGATTGAATAAGTATAGGAACAAGTATTAGAACGAATAACTGAACGAGGGTCGGGAGTCACTTTAAGAGGTATTATCGCGGAGATGGAACATCTATTCCCCCGAGAGGTTTGGATTTTGCCTAATCGGGCGACCTGGAAGCTGACTCAGCACCATCACCCCCGACAGGATCCAAGGTTAGGTCGTCGCATATCATTGCTTGGTTTTTTGTTGCCAACTGATGACTACTTGCTTTCTTTGACTTTGTTCTGTTTATATTTATAACATTTAATGTCTCCCTGAGTCCTCGATTCTGCTACGATTGTTGATCTCCTGAGGCGTCATTGGAGACGTGTCAGGTTGATCCCTCCGGACTGCGACCCATCTCCAGTCACGTTGGCAATCGAGTACCACGCCGCTAACATGGCGCTCCAACCCCCCGAAAACGACACGGACTCGTGGAATCCGGCGTTATTGCCCGAGGACAGTCAAGGCACTTATGCGAACGCCTTGCCCGAGGATGGCTTAGCCATTGCGCACGATTCGAAAGAGACGGCTCTGACCGACGCGAAATCGCCACAAAGCGACGAAGACTTCTCTGCTTGGGATACGTCGGATGAGATAGGCACCGCACAGCCTCAATACACAAGCGTGGATGGCCTGGTGAACACCATGTCACCAGGGGCGGACGCGGCCCCATCTTCGGATGTTCCTCCCATCGAAACACAATCATCGGATACCGTAACCCCTGTTGCAGCTGAAGCGGAAACTTTTTCGGAATCAGCCTTCATGAGAGAGGCAACCCCTTCTACGAATAAGGAAACTGCCGAGTTTGTCCCTGAGTCGGTGTCTGCTGAAAGTAATGACAACAAAGAGGAGACCTCCCTGGAGGAAATTCCACCACCAAACGAAGCGCCTAATGCGGCATCCGAGGATCCCTGGGGCTTGATGGAGGCGGACAACGGTAATGTGTTGTCCGGGGTCGCTCCTTCGACTGAAATCCCTCTTCCGAGTTCTGAGCCTGCGATCGCCGCTCAACGTGAAGATTGTCATGAACCGGCCTTTGTTGCGGACCCTGTAATTCGAACCCACGAGCAGACCGTAGTTCCTGAGCCCACATTTGAGGCGAGTGACGACGTCTTGCCCACCACCGAAAACCTGCCATTGTCCGAGAATCCGCAAACCAGCATTCCATCCGAGACTGTCGACCACCCAACCTCTGCCCCCAATGACACCCATTTGTCTCAACAGGCAGCCAACCCAGAGACTCCCACTGATACTCAAAGTCCGTGGGCCCAGGACATGAGCCGCGATGTTGACTCCGAGGACGATAGTTTCTTTAACCAACTCAACACTCAGACAAAGCCAATCTTCTCTCCTCCGCAGGCAGAGTCGAGGTTTGAGGAAGGCCTTCCGTTATTGGATCAATCGCCAGTCTCACCTGAACCCGTGCAGGTAGACAAACCAATTGCGGACGTGTTTTCGAATGATGGCGACGGAGAGGATTTCTTTGGTTCTTTGAGGTCTCAAGAGAACTCCCAAAAAACGCTCCAAGGAAACACCCAGGAAAGCTTCCAAGAGAACTTGGAAGAGAACCTCCAACAAAACTTCCAACAAACCCCTCAGGAAAGTCTTCTAGGAAGTCTCCAGGGAACCTCCCAGGACGACCCTCATCTAACCAGGAAGAGCACGCCCCAGGTGCTGGAGTCGGTCGGATTCGATATTGACTCTCCAGCCAGCGACGCCTCAGCAGCCGCTCAGTTTGATGACATTATTAAGGCTGCATCGTCTGAACCGCCAGCCCCAGCCGAACCTTCGGAGGAAGAGCTAGCCGCCAGGTGGGAAGCCGAGTTGGGTGATTCACCAGATGATGATCTGGCAGCTCGTTGGGAGGCGGCATTAGATGATGACGATATACTGCTCGAAAACGATTCTATTCCGCCTGTCTCTGAAGCACCCACGGAACAAATTCCAATTCCACCGGTCAGCAATGGAGTTCCGGCTGGCTTAAACAGTCCGTTCCAGACTCCTCATACCTATTCTCAACCAAGGCCTGTGCCTGGCGTATATACGCCTCATCAACCATCTACAGCGGATCTTTTGCAAGGAATGCCTGGGACTGCACCACCAAATAGTACGGCTATGCCGTCATATTTCTCCCAGCAGCCCCAGAACCCAGTGACAACCAGAGGAGAGAGTTTTGCTGAACGATCAAAGGAGGGTTACAAGTCTCCCTACGACCTCCCAGACGACATCTCTCGACCTCGAAAGCCCGTTGTCACTCATCGACCTGTTCCTCCAACTGTGACCAGCATGCCTCCGCCTCCGCCGCCGGCTGCTCCTGGTATGCCGATGCCAGCAGCAACTACTTTCCCGCCGACAGCTGCTCCGCCCGCCGCCGCGGCTCCTCCACCGGCTCCGAAAAATTTCTATGAGGAGCTCCCATTGGCACCACCGAGGACTAGGCCTGCCAGCTCTGGGAGGTATACTCCTAACCCGCAGGTGGCTCCAACGACTGGCCCATCTCTTCCCCCGCCGTCCCAGTACGTCCCTTCTGCACCCGCAGTCCCACAGCCTGTCCCGCAGCCTATCGCTACCCCAATGCAAGCTTCCCTCCAACCCCCCGAACAGCTGGATCCGTATGCCAGCTTGGCCTCAAGTGCTCCTGCCGGTCCTCCTCCTGCGTCGCGGTATTCGCCTCAGCCAGCCGGCCTGCAAGCGCCATCGAAACCACCCTCGCTGCCGCGATACTCCCCTGCGCCTCCTCCCAGCTCTTCCGCTCGCAATCGTTACGCCTCTCAGCCATTGAATGTTCCTGGACATGGTCTGCCCTTCCAACCACGAACTTCAAGTCCTCTCGCACACCATGAAAAGGTATCATACGTTCCCGACCCATCACAGAAGCCCCCGTCATTGGAGCCCGCAATCAATCTTTCGCCGCCACGGCCTCAAAGTTCTGGGTTCGGGAATGTGCCTCCTAGTGTTCCCCAGTACATGAGTGGACCTGCCGGTGTAGCTCGCAGGGAAAGTGCAGGGTCATCTGTTCAAGCGTCTCCCCCGCAAAGTCGCTATGCTCCACAGGAGTACATCAATGAATTCGCCCAACGCATAGCCCCCCCTACAAACTATACACCTGCTCCACCTGCTATGACCACGCAGACCTCTCCGCCACCCAGTGACTTCCAGCCAGGTCCTCTTCATAGGTCTCAGACGCAGTCACCGGGCCGGGCTATGCTAAGCCCGCGTTCTTCCGTACAAACCATTGATACACTTCCACGCCCCGCTTCTGTGCATGGATCTGGTTCACCAACTAAAACTGTGAATCCATATGCTGCTGTGCAAGCACCTTCGCAGACCCGCGCTGTGACTCAGCACCTTGAGTTCATTGCTCCCATAGACGGGCAGGAACACGATTCTTTGGAGCGGTGGAAAGGTGCTCCAATCTTCAAATTTGGCTTTGGTGGCTCCGTGTTATCTTCTTTTCCCAAGCACATTCCCCGTTACTCTGCTGGCCAGGTGGCACCAATGATCAAACCCAGCCCCGGAGAAATCAAGACCTCCCAGCTGAATGAATTCCTTCCTTCTACCGACACTATTGTTCAGCACCCTGGACCTCTGAAGGCAAAGTCCAAGAAGAAGGATTTGGTTGCCTGGCTTTCTAGCAAGATTGCGGCCTTCGAAAACCTAGGTGTCCCGACTCACGATCAGGTTCATTCCGATACACACAAGCGTCACGAGGAAAGGATCCTGCTCTGGAAGGTCGTCAGGCTTCTGGTCGAGAATGACGGTAATCTGGAAGGTTCTGCGGAGGTTCAAAGGTCTCTCCGCCAGGCTATTTTCCCTCACTTGGCGGCCCCTGAAGCCGATGGGTCATATGGTAGTGCCTTTGCTGCTTCGGCTGGCTTTTCACCCATGGAACTTTCCTCGCAGCCTGATGCTGTTGACTCTCAGTCCTTGGAAGAGCTTCGCTCCAGCTTGATTGCTGGTGACCGGGAAAAGGCCGTCTGGGGCGCAGTTGATCGCCGTTTATGGGGTCATGCGATGATCATTGCATCCACTATGGACAAGTCGATCTGGAAACAGGTCACGCAGGAGTTTGTCCGGCGGGAGGTTAGGTCCAAAGCCGGCAACACCGAATCACTGGCGGCCCTGTACGAGATCTTCGCTGGCAACATTGAAGAAAGCATCGACGAGCTGGTGCCTCCATCTGCCCGGGCAGGCCTGCAGTTGATCAGCAAAGCCGATGGTCATAGCTCTACCAAGAATGTCCTGGAGGGTTTGGACAAGTGGAAGGATACTCTGGGATTGGTGCTGAGCAACCGCAGCTCCGAGGACCATCAAGCTCTCCTTGCCCTTGGTCGTCTGCTTACATCTTATGGACGAACAGAAGCCGCTCATGTTTGTTTCATCTTCTCGCGGGCTGCGGTGTTTGGTGGACCGGATGACCCTCAAGCAAACATCGTTCTGCTTGGCGCTGATCACCAGCGTTGTGCCTCGTCCCTTATGGATGAAGATGCTATCTTGCTGACCGAGGCATACGAGTATGCTACCTCCGTTCTTAGCAACTCTCCTCTAGCGAGTTTCCCACATCTATTGGCATTCAAGATGCTGAATGCCAGATGTCTCGTCGATCGGGGCCGTAACTCTGAGGCTCAGAGCTACTGTGATGCAGTCGCAGCAGCGTTGAAGGCAACCACCAGGCCCTCCCCATACCATCATAACCGTCTCTACGCGGAGGTGGAAGAGCTATCCATGCGCCTCCGTCAAACTAGCAGTGACAATGGTTCCTGGATCTCTAGACCCAGCATGGAAAAGGTGTCTGGGTCCATGTGGGCACGTTTCAATAGCTTTGTTGCAGGTGATGAAAGTGATGCTGCCTCGACTGGATCTGGAAAGGCCGGCGAAGCAACGGATTTCGGGCCATTTGCCAACGTGGCTGGAACACCCACCATCAGCCGTTCCCCATCTGTGTCTGACATCTACGGCTCCTATCCCGGAGCAGGCGCCCAGCCTATTCCTACGGGTGGCGGCTCGAAGTATCACCCGTCCAGTCAGAGTCAATATGCCCCCAACGCATCGCCGGAGCAATTCAAAGGTCGGTCTTCGATGGACTCGCAACGATCGAATCCCTATTTCCCGCCTGCGGGACGTCGAACCTCCCAGGAATTCTCGCCATCGCTTGATTCGCAGATGTCTCAAGGGCCTGTATATGTATCCCCAAATATGTCTGGATATCAGCCGACCCCGCCTCAGTCGTCCTACGTTCCTCTCGCTCCGGTGGAGGAGGCTTTGTCCCCTGCTGAGGCTGCTCCAGTCACCCAACCCGTGGTAAATGGCCTATTCTATCAGCCCCCAGGTCATGCAGGTGGTTCGGCCAGTGAATCCCCCTACTACCAAGGGCCTCCTGGTATGCCAGACTCAGAGTCACCTTACGCACCCCCCGTTGCAAGTTCATCCTATGAGCCGCTGGGTGGTCCCATGGACATGAGCTCTCTCCAGACGGAGGACCAGATGGCTCCTGGGGAACAGCCAAAGCAGAAAGCATTCATGGACGATGACGATGACGATGATCTCGCTGCGCGGGCAGCAGCTATGCAGAAGGCGGAGAATGATCGCAAGGCAAATGAAGCTTTCCAGAAGGCAGCGGAGGAAGATGGTATGTATCTTCAATCCCAATTGTTGACTCTCGCTAACCCCAATCCTACAGCTAAACGAGATGCTGCCCAGCAGTCCGGCAAGAAGGGATGGTTCGGCGGTTGGTTCGGCGGCGGCAAAAAGGAGGAAGCCCAAACTGGTGGTCCGATCAAGGCCAAACTTGGCGAGGAGAGCTCCTTCTACTACGACAAGGACTTGAAGAAATGGGTCAACAAGAAAGATCCCAACAGCAGCGCCCCAGTCCGTGCCACACCCCCTCCTCCGCGAGGCTCGGCCCCTCCCAGTCGGACCGCTAGCTCGGGCAGTATGCCGCCAAACGGTGCTCCGATGGCCGCTGGCAGCAGACCCCCCTCCTCCTCGAGTGCCGCCCCGCCTCCGTTCTCTTCAAGCCCAGGTATCTCTGGACTTGCAGCCCCTCCCCTGCCTCGCTCTGTGTCTACCGGAGCGGCGGTGCCAACACCGCCAGGTAGTTCTAGTGGACCACCTCCACGACCTTCATCCTCCCTGACTCATGCCAGCTCGATCGATGATCTGCTCGGTGCGCCCACAGCCCGCAAGGGCAACACGGTCCGCGGCAAGAAGAAGGGTCGCTATGTCGACGTCATGGCCCAATAATCATAGGAAACCCTAGAGTTTCCTATGATATAGTCCTTCCCAGTACATTGCTGGGTAGGTCATGTCCATTTCTTTTGTTTCATTATGTTTGTTATCCTTATGTCTTTATTTTGTCACCCTATGATCTGTTTGACGAACACCCCTACACCGAATAATATTTCCCCCTTCCCCCCATTTGCTGTATTTGTCATTGCCTCAGCATCTTGCATGTGTCTCATCTCGCTCCCCCGAACAGACACACCATCACCTGGCGTTCTCGCTCACTGAACCTCAAAAGCATTGCTTTTGCACATAGCTTGATATTCGTTGTTCTTTGCGACCTCGTCTACAGAGACGAGCGCCTTTCCTGGCATTATGTATATCACCTTCCCCTGTTATCTACGGTTTCTTTTTCTGGAACTTTGTCTGGATCTGGAGGTTTTTTCTTGCATGCCTTGACATGCAGTTGTCTTAATAACGATTAATTGATTCGCACTTTGAACGCCTTGATCATCATCTTTCGGATATGGATATTGTAATTCATCGCAGTAAACTTGGATATCCATGCTCAATCGGCTGCCGAAAAAGGCTGCCTTGGATACCAGTTTAAGCTCCTACTGTCATTTGCGCGTTGTATATATTATTCTTAATTAGCTTTGCCTGGAAGAAAACTTGTTTGCTTTGACGTGACGTTAATTTGCGATTACGTTCTCCAGTACCAGCCTAGCCAATCGCAGATTCACTCATAGAATGCGGTCAAAGAGCGTACCAAAGGTGCTTTAGATATATAGATCAAGATTCTATTGACTTGAAGACCAACGCAGATCACGTCGTAAAAGAGTTGATATAATACTATATGCATCCCGTTAGAAACCTCAGTCGTCAAGCGTGGGACCAAACTCACCGTTAAACAAGATTCCTCCCCATTCCAGCTGCCTGGCAAATAGACATAGAGCACCAAAGCCATCTCATTGATAAAACCTGTCCACAGCCTCGAGTCAGTACTGCCGAGCCATGTCTCACTCCAATTTTATAAACTCACAAGCAACAACCTTCGGACTAAGTCGCCCAATACTAAGCACCCGACTCCAATCTCTCCCATCAATCCGCACCTTAGCCCACCCCTCCTCATCCCCCTCAGCATCCCGCATCCGATTCCGCTCACTGGGAAGCTGAGAGATCTCCTCCTGCGTCATCTGCCCAGCCGCCAGCGGAGGGTTAACAAGATCAGACCAGACACTCGCAATACGGATCTCATCCGTGGCTATGGCTAGCCGAAGCGAGCCGTGCATATTAGCTGATAATTCTAGTTTTGGTGCGTTGTTCGTTGATAATGTCGTCGCGCTGGTTTTGTCGTTTTCGCCGCCGAACGAGGTTGTATGCATCCCCGGTGCGTCTGCTGCCATCACGCCGGGTTGGTGGCTCTTGGAATCTGATGAGGCCAATTTGGTGAAGCGGTCTGAGATGCTTTTTAGGTGGGATAGGTTTGGCAGGATAATGTGGACTTCTGGGTCTGGGCAGTGTGGCTCGTGGAGACCTTCAACTGCGACTTCGTGGAGGATCTTGATAGGGATTTCTTGGGTTATGTATGTTTGTCGTTCTCGTGGTCCTCTTTCGCCTATCGTTTCGCTTGGGGTCTGGAGTGGTCGATCTGGGTCACCTTCGGCTTCATCGGTTGCGGTTAAGGCCATGTTTCCTTCTGTCCATTCGGAAGAGAGGACAGTTAGTGCTAAGATTGGAGTTTTGTCTTTCTTTGTTAGGCGCAGTTGGGAGGTTGATGCGCCCCATGCTGAGCGTAAGGCGCGGTTGAGTACGCTGACGTTGATTTCTAGGTTGATTGCGTCGGAGTTGGATTCCAGCTCGTATGTTGAGTCGTCGAATATTGTTCCCTGGACAATTAATGTCTGTATTCAATTGGCTAGGAAGATATCGTACAACTGGGATTGTTGCCCACACTTGCGTGCCTTGGTCGGGGATGATGGTGAAGCGGATCACCTCATATTCCAGGCGCATCCAGCATACCTTGCCTAACGAGGACAAGGAAGCGGTGAGTTCTGATGTTGTCAGCTATTGTGATGTCTGTGAGTGACTTGGACTTACTCGAGAATACTCTGGTGTCTCTCAATTGGGCTCGAAACCGCATTGTGTCAGTTGTTGACGGAGGAAGAAGTTCTTATCGCTATCACTTCTCTCTACAGCAACACTTTACTTCTTCTCTCTACACTCTCCAATATTCTTGACTTCGTAGTAGCTGATTCTATTCTATTCTTTCTATTCTTTCGGCAAATCACAACCCCCCAGTTCATGCTCACCAAGTGTGAAACTCGCAACCAGAGCTGCTCCCACGCCCGACCCGTCTTCCGCCGCGTTGAACGTGACCAAGTCCACCTCACCCGGCGGCCAATCCAGGATCTCACGAAGAGCCTGCGAAGCCCGACCCTTGAACATGCTATATTTATTGAACACTGAGCCATCCACCCCCACGTGGCACTGGCGGGTATTCTTCTTCTTGCAGATGGCCGCGATGCCGCAGGCGTAGAGACGCGCGTCGCGACGAGCCCGATAAGATAACGACAACTCTTCAACTCTCCCAGCGTCGGTTGCAACTTGAGGTTCACATGAAATTCCTTTTTCAGATCGATCAGCTCCTCGGCGATGTCCATTTCGGCGATGGACAGAAAGGAGGCTTCCAGTGCGTTCTCGGTTCGGAGGCGCGTCATATCTTGGCCTTTGAACAGTCTACCTTCTTCGTGCAAGGTTAGCAGGATCAGGCGCAACATCTCTCCTATGTACAGCCCCGCGACCATCTTCTCATAGATCTGTGTACCAGGTCGAACGGAGTGCTTGTCTAATTGGTGGTCAAATGTTGTCAATGGGAGCACTTGGCGCTCGTTGTCAAATGCGCCATACTCGGTGTTGATGATTACACTTGCGTCTTCCGGCAGACCTGAGTCACGGAGTTTGGGGATGAAGCGGCATTCTTCCATGTATGCTGCGTTGCAGCCCGTGCTGAAGATGCTGCCGATCTTTACCTGCGGATCCCGATAATGTGATGCAACGAGTGTACCCGTTGTGTCGTTGATCAGGGCAAGAACTTTCAATGGAACGTTCTGTTCAAATCAGGTGCCACTCTTTGATGGCGGACCAGAACTTACCTTTCTTTTTAATGCAGCCTCTAGCTGCGGCACTACATCATTGGCCTCCACTCCACGCACGTTGAAGTTCTTGGTCCAGCGCTGCAGAATGCCACTCCGGATAGACCTTTGGTCCACCGGGAATGAAAAGGTAAACGCCATTGGAAGTGGCTTTGATGGCCCGCTGCTGGCATGATGATCCTCGAGAAACGATGCCAATTTCTCGGCAATGAAGTCCCACAACGTTTCCTTTGTGCAGGTCTTGGCTTCATCCGGAAGCTTGTATTTCCGCTGGATCTGTTCAAACTGTCGTTCCCCGACCCCGAGATACACTTCACATACTCTTACATTTGTTCCTCCCATGTCGACAGTCAGAATGTGTCCTTTCTCGTGCCCGTTGGGCAGTCTGTTGACCCAAGTGACGTTCATTGGTTATGCCCGTCAACATGCAAGTCAGCATACAGAAGTATTCCCACCGTTCCAGTCCACATGGTACTGACAATAGATCCGCCCTCGATGGAAAGACCCTTCGCTAGCTCATCGACAAAATGTGCGGTGATCTCCTTCAATTTGTCGCCATCCACTGTGAACCAATCCTCATATTGCTTCAGAGGTTGGGTGAGCTGCTCGGGCACACCCTGCAGTATCTCTGGCTGGTAGCGGAACCCTTGCATGATGGGCTTGGAAAGCAGATGCCGATTGCCTGCAGTGATTCTTTGGGCTCTGAAGAAACGATCTACTTTCGCTCCTTGTTTTGTTCCGACAACGCCACGATGACCGCATTGTGATCGATTTGGCTCCTAGATGATTTATACAGTATCAAATATATTGACTATTTGTTATATAATTGCTATTAATTTACTATTGAAGTTTTCTATTTGTATTTTATAGAAGATCTTTTTCTATATCCCTTGCTTTCGGCTATCAAATCGGCGAGATGTGATATATCGGTTTCTAGGAAGTTGGAAGTTGCAAGGAAGTTGCCAGGAAGTTGCCAGAGCAACTTTGCCTGCAAGAAATAATTACAACGTAGGTCCAGAAAGAGAAAGGAAGGAAGTAAACATGGGATATCGTGTCGAAGTGAAGCGCGAACGGGATCGTCGGGACGTGCTCCACCCCCTGATCTCCAGGTATCTCCAAAATAATTTCAGCTTCACTTAATCCTCCGAAAGGGATATTCACTGTCTTTTCTCTATATTTCTGTGTCTGCGCCTTTTTTGATCTTCTTCTCTGCCTTCTGTTTTCCCTACTACTCCCGCCTCTGCTTTTCTTGGCTGCAGAGCTCCCACCTGCCACTCAAGCTCACAGCTTGCTCCTTCACCGTGCAACGCGCGTCTCAGCATGCGGGTTCGACAATCCTGTCTCTCACTCAGACCGCGTCACTTCTATGCCATCCTCCAGCCCGTCGATGCTTATTGCGCCCAAGACCTAGGCTGAACATTCGGAATGGCAGCCAGTCGAATAAACCCCAATCGCCCACTCATCCGCCTCTCCCCCGTCCACTCCCGCAATAACTCTCGGTCAACCTCGCCTGAAAGACCTGCTCCTCTTTACCAGAAACTCGACCCTCTCCTCAGCAACCTCTCCCCCGAATCAACTCTCCACGCCCTCACCTCTACCGATGCTGTACCCTTCAACGAGAAAGGCGCCCATGACATCCTCTCCCAGAGTATCTCCCAGGTTTCGCCTGCGGAGCGCGCCCTGGGTATACGCGCAGCTGTAGCAGCTCAGAATTTGGACCTGTGGCACAAGGAGGTGCAGTCGTGGGAATGGCCGAACCAGCAGGACACGAAGCTTGGAAAGGGCTTTATTCCTCCAGAGGCATCTACTCAGCCTAGCGACTCCCCTTCCATCGTGCCTCCTAGTAACCCGGACGATGATTACTATGGAAGCTTGCCAGCCAGCGGGGTGGAACGATATGAAAGGAGAATCGAGGAGATCCGCGATGGAATGGACGATCTCAACGTGGAGGAATTGAAGGAACACGTTTTGAATGCCCACATTCCTTCCAGGTCTCGGCCCTCGTCTGCCACGAGTTGCGTGTCTGCGCCCCCGCCGCTCAGTTATGTGCAGCTCAGTGACTTTACGGCTGTTATCACTGCGACCATCCTCCGTGCTCTTCCTTTGCTTTCTCGACTCAATGCTCTGCTTAGTACCTGGGATGTCCGTCTGCTTGTTCTACGCCAGATTCCTGGTTTGCTCAGGGAGCTGAGCATTACCCGGTCCGCCCTTGATTCCTCCCTTGACTCATTGCGGTCCCCGCAGTCTTCAGCTGATCCGAGTCGATACTCCGACGCGTCCTTGGTTACTGATCATGTCAGATTGGAGTCCGCGGTTGTTGCTGTTGGACGGCGGATGGATCGCGTTCTCGATGCTTTGGAGGGTCGCCCGGATTCCTTGCCTGAACATTGGATTGATGATCTAGAACGTATTGAGTCGGACTTCGCTGCTTGGGTGGTCGAGGCTGAAAAGTACAAGGTTCACAACCAGTGGTTGCGTACTAAGCAGGAATTGAAGGTTGAGACACCGACACTCTCCCAGTCTGAGCCCGAGAAGCCATTGGAGGAAACACAGCGGGATCCAGTTTCCGTTGGAGCTCTCTCGGAGCCAGCGAGTAATGAAGAGAAACCTGTCTTAATCAAGTTTCAGGGTCAATGTGGCCTCGAAGGTCCATTCCATAAAACTCTCAACCTTACACAACCATCTGTGGAACATACAACGGTTCCTGTGGACAAGCCATCTCCTCCGGCTTCTATCCATGAACAATCACCCGAAGCAAAGACCTCAGCATCTGCGGCGACATCCCCAGCACAAGATAAACAAGAGGTCCCGGCCCCTGTGGCTGTGGCCGAGGATCTCACAACCCCAACACAGGCGGAATTCCCATTGAGTATTTTGTCACTCAATGGACAACTCTCGGCAGGCTTGACACCTCGTGCAAAAGGATCTGTTTCGGAAAACAAAGAGAACATCCCTCCTTCCATTCCCCAGACCGATGGATCTTGGTCGCCTCCTCGGACTTTGACCATGGCAAGTGCATTGACTGAACACAAGGATGTATTTGAAGACCCATTCGCTCGATCTTCTACAGCTGAAGCCAAGACCCAGCTCCCAGCAGTCACTGTCTCTACCGATGTTTCACCTGTTGAAGATGCGAATGTTTCTACTAGTGGCAACGGTCTGCGATCTGAGATTGCAAGTGGTATCGAGGCAGAGCAAGTGCATGTTCCCCGGTCCGTCACCGAAACCAGTCCCAAGTCTCATCTCGTCAATCGATCTATTGCACAAGACTCTCAAACACCCGAGGACGTTCCACACGAGCGTGACGTTCAGACAGCTGGAATATTCTCCCCCGACCTGCCCTCGGGTCCATCGTATATACGCATGCCTCGTGTCAGGTCTTCTGTCAAGAACTCTTCCCAAACCACTGTGGCTGTAGACTCTGCTTCTCGCCCCAATTCTGCAGGATTGAAATCCCAGATCCCCAATCCAGCGAAGACAGCAGACACCCCACGCACAGTTCGGAAACCGCTACAAAGTCCTATCAAGCTCTCCAAAAATCGATCAGGAAGGTTGAGCCTTGACAAGGAGCCCGAGCTGTCACCGAAGATCACCCACCGTCGCCGGACCTCTACTGGATCTGTGCGTTCCTTGCTCTCGGACCACTCTTCCCTCATCTCCAGCCCTGACGCTCCGGGGTTGCGGACTGCTTCCTCAAACGAAACACCCATTAGCGCCCCATCTCATCCCGAATCGGCACACCCTCCCCCTTCACATGGTGACCATACCTTGAGAGAGGATCGTCTGCGTCGCTTGGAGAATCTCAAGCCTGATCTCCGGGTCTCCTTCCAGCAGAATCGCACTGTCAGTCTGCCTCTTGAGCGCTTTATCAACGAGCGATTGGAGATGGGCCTAGGAGGCGAGTCAGCAGATGTTTCTTCGAGGCAGCCCATCAAAGCCTCTACCACATCTGTTGGCTTGCCTAAACTTGTCAAGGTGAGTACAGTTGGATACAATTTCCCCGTATCTATCTGCTGATGACTGATCCATTATCTTAGTCTCGGAGCAAGAACACAGACCAGGATTCTGTTGTGTCTTCGCAGGGACCACGTATCCCGACGCGTCGTCCCCAACTTTCTCGGGGCAAGTCTGCATCTGATTTGCGCACCCAAAATGAAAAGCTGAAGGCTGCCGAACACAACCGAAATGCATTCACGAGGAACTCTGCTCACCGAGTCATCGAACCTCTGACTCAGCCCAAGTCTCTCCGATTGCGACAGCGATTGACTGCTCATCCGAGTCTTGAAAGCCTGGGCATGAAGAGACAAGAGCTGTCTTATGTAGAGGAGCATGAATCGGAGCTCACTGATTTCGGATCCCGCGCCTCCTCGCCGACAAAGCATATGAGACAGCCCCGAGACCAAATGGACGAACGGATCAGCTCCATTCTCAATACGTTGCCTGGTCGTATTCAATTGGTCGACTCTAACCACGAAGCAGACACGTCTTCATCATCATCTTCTGCGGATCGAAGAATGCGATACCGGTCAGAATCACCTACTGGTCCTCCAACTCGTAGCACTACTCCTGCCCCCTCTCTGATGTTGATGCCTGCTGCCCGAAGACGTTCCCATGCCTTCAAGACAGAAGATAGCTGTGTCAAGCTCTATCACCTCCATCACGGAGGCCAATCGGCGCCGACCAAACTGTTCGTTCGCACCGTTGGCGAAGCCGGCCAGCGAGTCATGGTTCGCGTCGGTGGCGGATGGGCTGACTTGGGTGAATACCTTCGCGAATACGTTATCCACCACGGCCGTCGCAAGGTGTCTGAGACTCCTCGTGTCGAAGTGCAAGGCATCCGAACTCGCTCCTCTCCATCTTACTCCTCGCCGGGTACCATGCTCACCCCGGGCACTTCATCATATCTCACCTCCGGCCGGGCCACCCCCTCCCGGCCTCAGTCTGTGCTCAGTGCCAGACCCCCTTCATCGCTTACCGTCCGCAAGACGCGACGAAGCTCCAATGCATCCGATGTCGCCGGTACTCGTGCAGTCACCACCGGCCATCTGCATTCTTTCACTTCGCCTCCACCTCCCGTCCCCCCTCTCCCCGCCTCAGGCGGCAGACGACTCTCAGTCTCTTCAGGCTATTCAATCGCAGAATCGCATTCCCCTGCCAACAATGTTATCCCTTCCATACTCCAGGAATCCCGTGCCACTCCGCTGGGCTTGGCTGGCCCAAGGCCGCGTGCACGATATGAATCCATGAGCCCGGAGGGTGAAGCGTGGGTCGAAGATGTTCTTCAAAAGACTCGTCGCTCCAGCTCGCACAACCCACCACCGATCGGACTTGGTCTGATAGAGCACGATGACAACCGATCTGAGATTGGAGATGCTGGGATTAGGTACTCCCTACCTAAAGTCCGCAGTATCGACGAGATCGGATCTATTGGCACGAGTCGACGCGTCGTGTTGAGAGGGCTTGGTAGTCGCAGGTCATAATTTTGTCCCTGAACTGCCTTTGACCTTGTACCATTTGGTATTTCTTGTTTTCATTCTTGGCTGCCCTGTCATGGGCCAGTATTTCTTCACATTTCATGGGTCTGATAGTCCCACTGGCAACATACGATAGATGCCACCTTTTTGTTCGATTTCGGTTTTGATATTATTTGCATCAGCGTGGCGAAGTTCTAAATTGGTGTTTGTGTTTGTGTTTCTTTTACATGGACGGAGTTAGCACTACAATACCCATAGTGATCTTGATAGGATGATATTGCATTTACTCCAACCCAGCTCCAGCTACCTAGTTCTTCATCTAGGCATCCTCCTTCCCAACAACCTTCGTAACAGCAACCCCATCCTTCCCAAACTGAGTCTCAAACTCCGTCACCTCAGTCTCATAAACCAACCCAGCATCTCCCACCTCTCCCACCCCCTTCAACCCCTTCTTAACATCACAACTAGCCTGAACCCACTCCAAATACTCCGGCGCACCAGGGAAAATAACATTATCAGCAATAACAACAGACCCAATATCCACAGCACCAAGCCCCTCCAACAACTTCAAATCAGGCAAATAAACATCCTGCCAATGATCCAAAAACACCATCGGAATCACTCCCCCACGCCCAAGTCCGCCCCGGGCCACAAGTCCTCGCAAAGACTCGGCCGCCGTACCAACAATCACAGAAACCGTATCCCCCAAACCAGCCAGGGAAATAAGTTGGTTCGCCACGGCTGCCATCTCCGGGTTCATTTCTAGACTTATATACTTGCCCCCGTGGTTGCGCATTGCGGCGCCGAATAAGATCGCTGAGTAGCCGATGTACCCGCCTAGTTCGATCATTAGGCGTGGTCTGTGGGTTTTTATGAGGCTTTCGATGAAGGCGCCTTTTGTTGGGCCGATGTTCATTAGTGGGTTGGTGGTTGTGCTGTAGGTGTCTATTTGGGATAGGAGGGCGCGTGGGTTGTTGGTTAGGGTTTGCAGGTCTTGTTTGTAGATGTAGTGGAGGAGATCGGTTTCGCGGCCGTCCTGGTTAGGGGTTAGATGTGTTCTTTGTTTGTTCTTTGTTTGTTCTTTTTGTTGTTTGGTGATGGTAGTGGTGAACTTACTAGGGCGAACTTGGTTGGCTTAGGGCTGAATGGCTTCCTCATTTTGGCGTTTGCTGTTGAGAATAAAGAAGTTGGGACTTTAGATAAGTTAGTGCTCTGAGGCTGAACATGATGCATTGGAGATGTGCACTTGCTTCTTATAAAGGTTCAATGGCTTTCCCCACAGAGAAAGCCGAGTCCACTCGGCTCCGAGATGGAGTTAACGTTCGGTGATTCTGCGCCAAACAGAGCATCGTTAACTCCGATCGGCTGCGGCCTGAGCTGAGCTCATTCAGGGTCCGACTCCACTTGCATGAGGCTTCGAATGTATTGATGTCTCGGGGATAGTCGACATCTATAGATTTTCAATCTACTAATATTTTGAGATACTCCAGTAATGATCGTATTTGAGGCTAATAGCCAACGCTGCAGATTCATGTAAAAAGTGGATGAACGCCTTAATCCGATGACCCTATTCCGCAACCAAATCGTGAAAGTAACATGAAGGATACATATCATAAATCATAGGTAGAACCAGCCAGCAATTGGAAGTGAGAGCAAAAGTCAATCTGCTGGCACTGATCATGGTGCATTCCTTTTCCACGGGATATCTTTACGTAGTAGCTGTCGGAGTTCCGGGGAGATCACCTTTGGCTTATCGGTGTTCATTGCCTTTTGAAGACTCGAGGGGCCAGCGCTAACTCCGCTGCTGGATCCAGCAGGTCCCGGTGATTTACCTTTATCCCCCGAACTCTGATCTCCGGGCCGGCGCTGGTGGGCGGTCGGGGCAGCGGGGAAGTTGTCCTTTTTATCGATGGCTTGGACGGAGCGTTCGAAGCGGTGGAAAAGAGATTCCGCGCGGGTGAGAAGAGGGACCAGTTCCATTGTGTTTGAGAGTTCGTTGACTGGGACGGTTAGCAATGCAACATCAATGTTGTCAAGTGTCAACATACTATATTTGAGAACCTCGTCAAAGTGCTTGAGATGATCCATGATCACGTCACGGTGCTTCTCGAGTATTGCCAACGCAATGAAGAGATGGAAGCTGCTGGAGAAGTAGTCCGTCCATAATGTCTCCCATAGGCGGAGCACGTCGGACCAATCAAACTCTCGTTTGTACCAGACCAAGAGCATACGGAAGAAGAAAAAGAAGTTGGTACTGTCGGCCGACTGCAGATGCAGGTAAAGCTGCGGGTCCATGAGTTGGACGAGGTTATCCAGAGCCAATAACTGGCCACGCATTCCGGACTGGTCTCGGAGGAAGTTGTGTTCCTGGAAATGTCAATAATGAGACAATATCGACCAGCGGATAGCTTACCATTCGATCCATGAATCCCACGAAGGCCCAGAAGGCGACAGCATCATCTTGCATCACGGCGTAGATTGGCGCCAATAGATCACTCATTCCCTGCACATAGCCGAGATCTGGATTGAATTCGTTGTACGTCAAGAGCATATCCTTCATTTGCTCTAGATGCACGTTGGTGCCGGTCTCGGCAAAAGGAGAATCGGGATCGGGGTGAGGGATGTCCTCACCCGAGAACAGAGGAATGGTCCGATCGGTTCGGTGAACATCCTTCTCTATATCATGTATTAGTGACTGGCACATCTCCATTGAAAAGAGCCTTACCTATCCGATTCCGTTGCTCTTTCCAGTGATCGAACTGCTCGACTGTCGAGTTGCCTTCGACCATCCGCTCCCACCAGCCTGCTTTGAGTCTGATATACTCATCGCGCTTCGAATTCATCAAAGCTTGTCTCTCTTCCCGGCTGCTGTCCCACGGATATACCTCGAGAAGGAAGAGCCAGGCCTCTTTTCTAACGCCATCATTTGGATCCAACCCACCGTGGAAGATCCGTTCCTTGACTTCTTCCACTGTCACTTGAAGTCTTCCCGATGTTGAGTCGAAGAAGCCCTCCCATTCTTCTAACTTGAGGACTCTGCGTCGCTCTTGAAGGGCGAGATTCCCCGTCTCTAACTCGAGAATCTCAAAGTCTCCAACTGAGCTATTCTCCATCTCCAGCATATCCTGTGCAGTCCATATACGCTGGTTGCGGTCTTTCTCGCTCTGATCGGCTACACTCATCGCCCAGCGGGCCAGATAGACTCTGGCACTGTCAAACTCATCTTGCAACGTCTGGATTTCGGGGTTCTTCATGAGACGGCGCATCTGAGGTGGAATCCGAGGATTCTCCGCAATATCATTGGCAGTTCGGCGGGTGAATGTCGTGATCTTGCTCAGCTGCTCCAACACCTTCCACCGAGTCTCCTTGAGGGTCTTCATGAAGGGGTCCATGCTTGCATCGGGCGGACCGGCTTGGCTGGGCCCTGCTGCTGCAGCTTCTGGTTGTGCCTTTCCTGGCAGAGACGCATCGCCGTGAGTGGCCGACCGTCCAAACGACAGCTGATCCTCGTCCGACGGGTTGACGAGGTAGACGTTGCGGTCCACCGATGAGCGCTCCACCTCCACATATCTCCGGAGCCAGCGCAGAACCTCATCACCACCCCAGAATAAGCTCCCTTCATTGTCGAAGGGGTCAAAGTTCTCTCGTACCCTTTTCTTCTTCTGCAAGATGGTCGACTCGCACTCGTCGTCATGGAAGAAGAGTGCCGGAAAGCCGTCGCCTGCCCGGGTATTGATCACCAAACTTCCGAACCACCATCCTAGACTCGGCGGTCGTACGAGAAGCGAGTATATCTCTGATAGCGGGATTGCAAATGCATACAGCCCGATGGGGTCTTTGTAGGTGGTGGTGGTCGGAAGCGGCGGAACGAGGTACTTCTGGCGCGGTGGTGACGAGTCGTCAGAGAGGTCTACTTTCACATATGTATCGTAGGCCTCCCCAAGGGAGGATTCTGGGACCCATGCGAGAAGGTAGGAGGGCGCATCGGGGTGCTTGGATTGTGAGGCATGTGATGCGGGGGTTGGCTTTTGTTGAATGAGGGCGATGAAGCCAGCAATATTGTCTTTGGCGGACGAAGTGGGATGAACGTAGACCTATACACTGGTCAGTTGGGAGCGCAGCTGAAGATGGGGAGGTCTTACTTTGCTTTTGGAGAAGAGCAACTTGACCCCTCTCCTCGAGGAGGCCTGGGCGATGGTATTGTACTCATCCTCGTCGTCGTCACTCATAGCGTAACAGGAAGCAGGTGGTGACGGTGTAGGAGGAGGAGTGTATTTGGGGCCCATGATGTTGAAGAGAAGAGAGGAGTTGAGCCCAGGTGAGGTGAGCTTGGAAGAACGACGTAATGCCGATAAGATAGCTGCCCTCTATGAAATGTTTGGCTGTTTAGAATATACTTCTTCTTTGTATGGCATTTGATTGCATTTATATTCTTTTAGATCTTTTTGCTTATTCTTTTACTTGTTACTGAGTTTCTGTTCCATTTATCTCTTTTGATTTCTTCTTACGGTCGCCACTCGGCCTCCAGGCAGCCAAATTCATTCTCAACTTGATCAAGCTATATAATTATTCAGAATATATAGAGCGCTTCTATGCTCAGGTGCAACGAATACGTTGAATCAATATTGTTCACATTTAGTAGGGGTTGCGACTATAAACTAGGTAGGTACGCTAAGTGTATAAAATATATAGCAGACGTAGAACTAAAGCATAGTAAAACACAACCAACTTCTGCATTCTACAGCTACCCTTTATTCTCTATCCCACTGATATCGATAATTCTTGATTCAAATATCGATATCTGCCTGCTCTCATCTTTCGTACAGCCAACTGGGCCCCAGGGCAAATCTGTGGTTACATAAGCACAAATTTGGTCTGCGCGAGAGCACATAAAAAGAATCGAGTTTTGGAACATCAAGAGGAAGTCAACATATCATTATTGGTTCAATCTGGAATTGACTCAATCATTCATTGGGTCCCATTTTGTCTTTGATGGTTGCGCACCCTTGAACTGACCATTATCGACGCCCCCGCAATCCTCGGGCATTTCATGCGAGTCCGATATTAGCAACCTCTGCCTCTAAGTTCTCAGAATGGCCTCTAAAGAATCATGCATTCTTCCAGCAGACATTATGGAGTCTCAATTAGCCACTATTGACCTCCTAACGGCCATGTTCCCCGCTCCAGGCGAGCTGGAAATCCCTGAATCCACAACGCAGTGCGTCGAGAAACTGCGAGACTGGTGCGAGGACCGGGCATCCAAGCCCTCCAATATTCCTTCAAGTATATATCTGCTTGTCTGTCTACCAATAGCAGATGGAGATAGAACTATTCAAGTCAACGTCTCCATCCCACTACAATGCGAGGACCCGGAGACAATTGACCAACCTCCACCGTTGGGATATTCGCTTCGACAGCCAGAATGGATGTCTAAAGCTGAGGTAGCGGAAGTGGCCAGTTCAATACCTGAAGGGGACGCTCTAGAGGCATTCGAATACTTCCAGACAGAAGCCAGCCGCTTTCTTGAAATCAAGCAGAGTCAAGCTGTGTCTTCAGAAGATAGGGGTTCTGGGGGTCCGGTCGTGCGAGTCTGGTTTTATTTCCCATCCTTGTCCACTCGCAAGAAGAGAGACGATATGGTCAACCTTGCGCCAGGATATTCTCTCACGGGCTTTGTGCTGGCCGGCAAGCCGGGCGTGTTATGTCTTGAGGGTGCATCCTCTGATATTGATTCATACATGAGCTTTATCAAAACACATTCATGGGGTGATATTCCCAGTCACCAGAAGAAAGTCAGTGAGAGATTTCGCGAGACTGAGGGAACACAAAGAGTGTTTTCTGGGATGGAGGAGATTACAAACTCGCTAGGGGAACGAGGTGGGCAGCGAGCCAATCGGGGTGATATGCAAGCACTGGAGGTGTGGTTAGGGTCTAAGGGGCTACAAGAGGCGTTTGAAAAGGTCATCTTTTAGGTGCTCAGGGAGGGGACATTAATGTAATTATAGCTGGAGACGGATTAAGCCGCACGAGAGAGAACATATTGATCATAGCACGAGAACTGAAAAGATATTAGGCTATCAGTGGTTCGCAACCCGGCGCATGGTTCTTGGAATATCTCCAAAATCTATGTAACTTCATACACTTCCTGTGCAGATCTATCTCAAAATACGATCCTATTTCCGTTATCTAGGGAGATCTTTTAGCCAAATAATTCCTGACAGGTAGGTCTCCACAAAAGCGCATCTTTTTGTCAGCTGCTCAGGGCACCGAGTCAGGTGTGCGTGACATCAACTACGGGATTCTTTAACTCTTTCGGGAAACGATATACCGCAACCCCCAGGTCATACTAGGTTTCGCAAACAACACAGTGCCACCAGTAGATACATGTTCGTTGAGTAAAGACAAAGAGATCCAGTCTGGCGATATAAAGGTGACTGTCTTGTTCCATCGCGATTCAAACCCCCCAACTGTATCTGTTTGGTATCTGACGACAACTAACTACTACACCATGTCTGAGCTCACTCGTACTTTGCCGGCTTCTTGGTACTGCAGTGACTCTCTCTACCAGTTGGAGCGGCGGGCAGTCTTTCTCAAAGTATGAATGTGCGGTGTGTCGCATTCCTCTGTCAAAGCTAAACACGATATAGTCCTGGTACTTGCTCGGCCCCGTTACGAGATTCCAGAAAGTGGGCGAACATGTTCCGTATGAAGTCGCGCAGCAGTCTATCTCTGCTGTTCGCACTTCCGGTGATAGTTTGAATCCGACTCCCGAGGAGCTGAAGGTGGTCCTCGTGAAGACGGTATGCAGCATCCAAACAAAATGTGATATTGACGATTTCATCGTGCTAACATGATAATACAGGGTGAGGAAGTCCGTAGCCATGTCACTCCAACCGGACTGTTGTTTTCAACTATATCCGAGGACGCACCCAGTTTCCATGAGTTCTTCCCAGAGCTTGAAGAACTCCTTGGTAAAGTCGATTTTACCAAATTGCCGCATCGTCGCAGCATCAGCTACGAGGGTCGCTTCAACTGGAAAACAATGTTAGCTACCATTTCGAGTTTCCCGACGGCATTATGATTAATCTTGTGTAGGGTGGACGGATATCAAGAGTGCCTGCACTGCCAGTACACCCATCCGTCTTTCTCGATTTACTACCCGCCAACTTTCTATAGTGTGCATAACAAGCACAACTTCTCCCAGCACATTGCAGACCCAAAGAAGCCAGATGACGGCCTGTTCCTGTACTTCTTCCCAAATTGCACGCTGAACGTCTACGGTGGTGGAATGTCTTCGTTCAGGGTTTGTCCGACCGCCGATCCGCACGTCACCCGGATGGAATTTGACTATTATCATCTTGCCGAGGGGGATAAGTTTGAAGAGTATTTTAAGTTTGTGCGCCAGGTTGCTATGGAAGATTTTGAGCTCTGCGAGAAGGCTCAGGATAACCTGGCCAAGGGGGTTTATCATGAAGGAATTCTTAACCCCGAAAAGGAGAACGGCGTGTCTTGTGAGTGATTCACTTTTTGACTTGCCCAAATATGGTAACTAATATCTTCTAGACTACCAGCGACGAGTGTTTGATATGGTGTGTGAGCAGCATGCTGCTGATAGAGCTGCTAAGACAAGCAAGGAGTCTGGAGCAGAGGAACATGTAGCATCTCCAATGGTCCAAATGGCAGCGTACTAGATGCTAGCTTCTAAATCGTAATCAAAACTTGATATGTTCATTTAATGCAATCTTTCTATCTGCTCTGGGTTGTAGGTGGAGTCGAGTACCTGATTAGCATAAGATACTGAAGAAACCAAGCAGCCACTTATTGACCTTCGATATCCAAACCAGACAGGGATGACTAACTATCCGCAAAATCCCACTCTCAGGATAAAACAACCGAATCGGGTAGTACAGTCAGAGGGGTCTGCATTAAGGGCGGCAGGGATATGAAGTGTATAAGGTGGGGTGGGGACTTGGACCTCCCAGAGAAGTATATCAGCTTGGGGCGTTCACGAAGCAAATTAACATCATCAGGCTATTTTTTGTGGTTGAACTTTGCTCTTCATGGAGTATACTCAGTCCTATTTTTCAATCTCTCCTGGCTCCACCCTTGTGGCCTTTGTGACAGTCGTGTTTCTACTTTATCGGGCATGGCCTCACTTATACCAGCATAAGGAGACCAGTAAGCTCGCTGATCCTATCGTGACGCACCAGGAACCTGGCTTGGTCGTTTCAAAGGAGCCTGAAGTCCCAGAAGGATGGTGGTCCGGCCGGGATGTGTTTGAGCTCGAACGCCGCGCGCTCTTCAGCCAAGTAAGAATGCTAAATTCGGTTGATATTAATACAGCTAACAAACAGATATAGGCCTGGATCTATCTTGCGCACATATCCCAGTTCAATAAGCCTGGCGCCTATCAATCTTTTGATTTTGCCGGGTATCCTATCTTTCTGATTCGAGGCAAGGATGACAAGATCCGCGCTTTTCATAACGTGTGTCGCCATCGTGCCTACACTATCACCAGGAAAGAAAGTGGCGCATCGACTGTTCTTGGCTGTCGGTATCATGGATGGAGCTACGATACTAACGGCCGCCTAGTTAAGGCTCCTCAGTTCGATGATGTGCCTGGATTTGATAAGTCGCAGAATAGTCTCTTTGAGATTCATACGCGCACCACTAACCATGGTCTTGTCTTCGTTAATCTCAATGCCGGGGAGCCGGAGCCATTTGATGAGATGATTGTATCGAGTTTGGATGCATTTTCCTACACTTCTGGTTTGGAGGCGAAGTCCAGTTGGGTGAATGGACAGACATTAACCGGGGAGTTCAATTGGAAAGTAGGAAGTGAGTGGCATATTAAAGATCTCAGGTATAATCTATTAATTGCTGACAACTCTTAAAGTGGGAAAACGTCAGCTCCATACGTTTACCAGAGAATTGGCCCGTCGGGTATCAGAATTATCTGGTCCTTCGCCTGTCCTGAAGGCTATCAGATCCTTCATGCAGAAAAGCACACGCACAGAGACATCTTTGTCCCCAAGCACATTTCTTTGTTCATTTGAACATACTGGTCTATGTCTGGCTCTATCCATCTTTCCAGCGTCGGAGAAGAGGTCCAACATCCGATACGATCTTTTCGCCCGTTCCGCTGCAAGCAAGACAGAGGTGGAAGCCCTGTCCAAGGCTTCGTACGATGTTACAGAGAACCTGGTCCGAGAATTTGAGGGCGACTATCGGGCTATTTTGACAAAGCATGGGTTTGTTTCTCGTCATTCCTTATATTCCCGTTTTT